CTTTGGAGGCTCGCCCGCCCGCGTGCCTCCCAGGGCGCCCGAGCCTTCGTGTTCGCCGTCGTCGTCGCCGTCGTCGTCGTCGTCGTCGTTGTCGTCGTCGTCGTTGCTGTCGGCGGCGGCGTCCTCGCCATCCTGGTTGTCCTATGGTCGTCCTCTGTGCCTTCGCCAGCACCCTCGTCCTTGTCGTCCTTGCCGCCCGTTGCTGCCTCCCCCTGCAGAGCCCCGCCCTCCCCAGAGTCAAGGGAGGAAAAACCACCCAGACCGGACAATTGGCGTTTACTAAACGGCCCTGGGAGTTTACTAAACGGCCCTGCTCTGTTTCGTTCCTTCTTTGGGCGCGTTTACTAAACGGCTTCGCGTGTCGGGGTGGTTATTATCGGGGTGGATCTTCTGCCGTCAACAGGGGGCTCCCGAGGTCGCGACCTGCACGTCCGCGGTGCTGCACACGGCCCTCACGAAGGGCAAGGCCCGCCCACCGCGCGCCGACCACCTCGGCGGCTCGGCCGGTGCGCTCGGCCAGCCTGCCTGGCCCCTGGCCTCCTCCTCCTCCTCCTCCTCCTCCTCCTCCTCCTCCTCCTCCTCGATCCTCCTCCTCGGTCTGACCTCGTCGATCCTAGATCTAACCTCCTCGATTCTCGATCTAACCGCCTCGATCTTCGATCCTCGTTGCTCGATCCTCCAAAAAGATGCTGAGGTATAGCCAGAACCCCTGATAAGGGGACCCGGTCAGTGATAGGGCCCCGAAACTTCGTAAACTGGCCAGAGTCAGTAAACCGGGTCTGCCGTAGCTGATGATTTTCGGGGGGCGGCAGTTCCGGTCAGTGGAATGGGGCGGGGGGGGGCGTCCCCTGGTACACACCACTAATCTAGGTCCCACTAAATCCAGTCTCGCCAGCGCCCGAAAAATCAGCGTAGCGGAGCATATTTCGGCCCCTGATTTTTTTGTTGGCCTGCTTGCAGGCAAATTCGGAGTGATACCTCAGAAGCCTGTAGCTGTGAGCTGTGATCTTCGGAGGAGCTCAACAAGCGAGGAGTTGCGCAAGGGCTTGCGGTACACGTACCAGGAACGAGTCGACGAATTTCCAGGACACGCTGCAGGTGGCCCAGCACTGATTCTGGCCAGCAGGCAGGGCTGGGAGAGGTCGCAGGCGATTTTCCCCCCCCCCGATCCCCGAGCTCCGCCCGAAAAGCTTGGCCGCTCGGAAAAAGGAAGCTCTGGTACGCGCCCCAACATGGCTATTCGGACGCACCCCCTATCGAGGATGGACGCCCCCCCATCGCATATCCCAGGGTTGGGTCCCAAATTTCAGGTTTGGCACTTCGGTGCGGCAGCTTAGAACGTAGGGTCGGAAGGGTGAGGTCAGAGAACGCGGGAGGGGCACGCTCAAGCCTTTCTGGCTCCGCAGCGCGCCGAGCCCCCGCTCTCTTCGAAGGGAGGAGGGACCCTCCGCGTTACCCGGGCGCGGCCGCCATGTTGCCGCTGCGCTGGGGCGCCGGCGCTGCCACCGCCGCCGGGCTGCCCACGCCGCTGGGCCTCCGCCCCGCGGCCGGCGCCACCCTGGTGTCAGACCCCGGGCCGCCGCCCGCGCGGGCCGCCGCCGGACCCTGGGCGCACCGAGTGCGCGCGGCGCCCGATCTGGGCGCCGTGCCCCTCTTGGCATGGGAGACTGCCACCACGAGGGGGGCCCACACGTATGATGGCGTCGATCATCTAGCCGCTGCGGGCTTCAAGGGGCTCGACGATGCGGTCTCTCTGGGTGGCCGCGCCGGAGAACCTTGAGGGGCCAACAGCTGCTGAACTCATTCGGGGAATCGAGCAGGCGTTGGAATCTCACAGGGAAGCATCACCGCCGCCAGAGGCGACGCCACCGCCCCCCGCGGCCACACCGCCGCCGGGAACCACCAATGAATACAGTTACGCGAGTTACGAGTGCGAGGGCGAGCCGGCCCCCCCCCCGCGCTGCGGATCGGGGTCCGCCGCGACAGCAGCCTGGGCGGCCTCACCGTTGAGGATGGGGGGCGCAGGCCCCCTCGCCCCGGCGCCCGCGGCCGCCAGGTGGCGGTCAGCCTGGGGGGGCGCCGCCCCGCCGCCGACGCCCGCAGCCGCCGCCTGGGCCTGGCGGGCGCCCGCCTCGCTGTGGGCCCGCCCGGGTCGCGCGGCAGCCGCCGCCGACCCGACGGCAGGCCTCATCGGGGGCCTCCTTCGCCAGGCCTGGACCATCGCGTTCGGGGGGTACGCCCGGATGCCTGCGTCCCGCGATCGGGGGTCGTGGGTGTCGGGCTCTCTCGATCGCGATCGACGCGCTCGTCTTCGGCCCACCCCAGGCCTGCGCTGGATGGTGGTGCAACCGCCGCCGCCCAGGCCCCCCAGGCCCGCCCCCGCCGCCGGAGTTGGTTGGCCCTGGGGCCCCGGACAACGCGAGGTGCAACGAGATCCGGGCTCTCGCGGCGCCAGTGGCCACCCGCCGCATTTTGTGGAGGGCGCCTCGGCCACCAGGGCAAACGCCGCCTCGGACGCATTCCCGTTGATGACCTTTTTCCATCACCCTCTCTCGCTCCCCCTTCTTCGCTGCCTCTCCCTCGCTCCCCCTTTCCGTACCTTCTCCTTTCCTCCCTCCCACTCCCCCTCAATCCTCCATTTCCCTGCCGCACCTCCGTGTCCTCAACCGTCAGTCCCTCCATTCCGTCGCCCTCGTGCATTATGCCTGCTCGTTCTCTTTCTCGCCCCCCCTCCAGAGAGAGGGGCGAGGGCCGAGACGAGGTGGGGAAGATGTACCGGCCCGTGGACTTTGCGACCGTCATCGTCGACGAGGCGGCACAGGCCAATCGCCGCAACGCGGCGGGCCCTTTCAACGAGGAGGAGGAGGAGGAGGAGGAGGAGACTAAGAAAAGAGAACCTTGTTAAGAATCGCGGTTCGGCCAGGCTGCACGGTCCACGCTGCAGCCTCGCTTGCATCAGTGGTGGCTGGCCTGTCGCGGGTAAACAAATCTTCCTCCTCCCCTTTCTCCTCCTCCTCCTCCTCCTTCTCCTCCTCCTCCTCCTCCTCTTCCCTCTCCTCTTCGTCCTTCTCCTCCTCAGTATCATCCTTCTCATTCTCCTCCATTTTCTACTCCTCCTCATCCTCCTTCTCCTCCTCCTGCCCATCCGGGTGTGGAGTCGGCGAGCGCGTCACTCCAGGAGGGGTGGCTGCCCTTTGGCCAAAACCATGTCGAGTGCTCTGGTTACGTGGGCCTCGGCGTACTGAGGTTGAGAGGCAGATCAGTGTGAGGAGGATGAGGATCAGGAGGAGACAGAGGACTAGGCGGAGGAAAAGGACGAGGAGGAGGAGGAGGAGGAAGAGGAGGAGGAGGAGGAGGAGGAGGAGGAGGAGGAGGAGAAGGACGAGGAGGAGGAGGAGGAGGAGGAGGAGGAGGAGGAGGAGGAGGAGGAGGAGGAGGGGGGGAGGAGAAGGAGAAAAAGGAGGAGGAGGAGGAGGACGATGAGAAGGAGGAGGAGGAGGAGGAGGAGGAGGAGGACAAGGAAGAGGAGGAGGAGGAGGAGTAGGAGAAGGAGGAGGAGGAGCAGGAGCAGGAGCAGGAGCAGGAGCAGGCGGAGCAGGAGAAGGAGGATAGGAGCAGGAGGAAAGCAGGAGGGCGCCCATACTCTCAAGGTCGTTATTTGTTTCGCACTGTGTTTCCTCAGTCGTGCATTGAGTGCGGAAGAGAGTGTCAGATTTCCAGCGGAATTTAAGCACCGAGTTCTTTGGGGCCTTGGGACCGTCAGCAGCCGACCTCGGAACGAGAAGCGGGTCCAGAAGGGCGAGGGATGAGGACGGAGGACAGGGGAAGGGCAGGGGGAGGGGGAAGAGGATGGCCAGATGAGCATGGCGGAGGGAAGAAGGGAGGCAGGAGTTGGAGGAGGAGAAGGAGAAAGAGAAGCAGCAGCAGGATGAGTGATGGCGAGGAGGAGGAGGAGGAAGAGGAGGAGGAGGGACGAGGGAGACTGGAGGGAGATGCGAGGAGGACCAAGCAGGACAGAGGAGGGAGGGGATGGGAGAGGAAGTGAATGTGAGCCTGCTGACTGCAAGGAGAAGCGCGACCTCCTGAAATGCACGCTTCTGAGCACGAAGCGCTCATCATCTCACCCACAGCAGGCTTTAAGCGGCACAGCTTTAGGGGGCTTGTGCATGCCCGCCAACTTGACAGTTTGGGTCAGTGCCCACACACGCGTTGTGCGAGGCACGGCCCATGCATACAGCCCATCCTTTCAACACCCAGTACCCACCTGGAGGGGTAAGGCTCCTCCCCGGCGTTTCTGAAGGTCTGTGGATATCCCCAGAGGCCCCCAGAGGCCCAAAACGGACGAAGCACGCCAGACAACCTAACTGGCGCTGGGACGTGAAGATTCCGAGGATTGAGGACCGATCATCCCCGATCCTGTAACATCACTGCCCACTGAGGCCAGCCGGGCTTCCATGGACGAGCTGGGGCCACTTTGGGCCTGGGCCACCTCTCGCAGCACCCGATCGCGAAGCCTCCGAAGATCTTCGATGGCCTCTGTGCGTGTGTGTGTGTGTGTGTGTGTGTGTGTGCGTGTGTGTGTGCGTGTGTGTGTGTGTGTGCGTGTGTGTGTGTGTGTGTGTGTGTGGCGGGGGGCAGGTCGGGGAGGGTCGGGGCTGGGGGGCCGGCGGCGGGCTCCGGGAGGGAGGGAGAGAGGGGAGGGGGGGGGGAAGGAGAGGGGAGGGGGGAAGGAGGGGAAGGAGGGATAGAGGGAAGGAGGGAGGGAGAGAGGGGAAGGAGGGAAGGAGGGGAGGGAGAGGGAGGAGGAGGGATGGAATGAGGGAAAGGGATTGGGAAAGGGAAAAGGAAAAGGGAAAAAGGAAGAGGGAAAGAGGAAAAGGAAAAAGCGAAAGGGAAAGGGAAAGGGAAAGGGGGGAGGCTTGGCCGTCGCTGTCCCGCACATGCTTGTCTCGGTGCCTGTGGTTATTGCTTACATGTCTGTTGGTGTGGGAGAAGCGTATGTCACGGAGACCTCTCTGACGATCGTAGGAGGAGGATGTGTAGGAAGAAGGCGGGGAAAAGGTGGAGGGAGGGAGGTATGATGAGAAGGAAGAGGACGATGAGGAGGAGGAGGAGGAGGAGGAGGAGGAGGAGGAGGAAGAGCAGCAGAAGGAGGAGGAGGTGGCGGAGGAGGAGCAGCAGCAGGAGCAGGAGGAGGGTGATGGGAGGGGGGAGGGAGGTGGCCCCTCTGACGCTCGCAGGAGGAGGAAATGTGAGGATGAGGGGCTAAGGGTGAGGGGAAACGTCGGGGAAGGACGGAAGAGGAGGAGGAGGAGAAGGAGGAGGAGCACGAGGAGGAGGAGGAGGAAGAGGAGGACGAGGGCGGCTTCGGAGGGAGATGAGGAGGAGGTCCCAAGTCCGGCAGCCCCAACCGAGCCCAGATGGAACGGGAGGAGGAGGAGGAGGAAGAGGAGGAGGAGGACGGCCTCGGAAGCCGTGCTGCGCGGGGAGCGGGCCTGGGCGGGGCAGGCGAGCGAGCCGGACGTGGTCTTGCCGAGCTTGCTGGCCGGGCAGCGCGTCGTGGCTCCTGGGGGGGGGAAGAGGATGCTCGAGGATGGCCGAGAAGAAGGAAGAGGAGCAGGAGGACCAGGAGAAGAAGGAGGGGGGAGAAAGGAGAAGGCGGAGGAGGAGGAGGAGTAGGAGGGTGAGGAGGATGATAAGGATTAATGGTGATCGGGGAGGATCAGGAGGCGGATGAGGAGGAGGAGGAGGAAGAGGAGGAGGAGAGGGAGGAGGAGAGTGAGGATGATGGTCGAGGAGGAAGAGGAAAGTGAAGATGATGGTCGAGGAGGCGAGGGAGGAGGACGAAAATAGTCGAAGAGGAGGAGGATGAGGATGCGGAGGAAGAAACCAGTGAAAACACAAGACGCATCAATGACGTTGCAATAAGCCCGCGCTCCAAGTTCTCTTTTCATAGTTCTCTACACGAATGTGTATTCACTGCGGGGAGTGCCCCAGTAGAAAACAGTAAAAAACAACCATTTAAGAATCCTCAGTCGTACAAAAACACAGTTCCTGGGACTTCAACGCCGCGAGCCATCGTGATTTTTGCGTCTCGACAGTCCTAAATCGCGCCATGGTGCCATTCCTGGGATTTCAGCGTCGCGAGTCAACATGACCGTCGCGTCCTGACAGTCCTAAATCGTGCGAGAGCGCCATTCCTGGGACTTCAACCATCCGAGCCCTTAAATGTGTAGCAGACTTGTCGAACGAATGTGCCCGGCGCTACTGCGAGAGCCACAGTTTGCAAAGGAACGGCGCTCTATCTTTGGAGCGGTCGGGAACATGTGCGACGAGTTTGCTTGGCGCGAGAGCCACATTTTGAGAGGGACCCGCCCTCCACCCGGGAAGCGGTTGAGACGAATGCGCGCGGCGTTGAGGAGAGAGCTTTTTGTTGAAAAGGACCCGCCTTCCATCCTTGAGCCTGCTGCACACATTTAAGACGAATGCGCGCGGCGCTGAGGAGAGAATCGCATACTGAAACGGACCCGCCCTCCACCGTTGAAATGGCTGGGAACTTTTAAGACGAATGCGCGCGTCGCTGAGGCGAAATCTGCATTTTGAAGGCCACCCGCCCTCCGTTCTTGAAACTGGTGCTAATTTCAAGCTTCAGGATCATCAATGGCTCAGAAGTCTCGGGCGAAACGCCCAGCCCGCCCTACGGACACGCCAGGGGGTGAGACAGGGAAGAGTTGATCAGAAGGAGAAGGAATGGAGGAGGAGAGGTCGAGAGTGGAGGAGGGCGAGGAGGAGGAAGAGGAGGAGGAGGAGGAGGAGGAGAAGGAGGAGAAGCAAGATGAGGAAGAAAAGGAGAGGGAGGCCGGATGGAGGAGGAGGAGGAGGAGGAGAAAGAGGAGAAGGAGGAAAAGGAGAGGAAGAAGAGAAGGGGAGGAGGAGGGAGGCTTAAGGTTTTGAGATTTTCTCAAAGAACCAGATGGATACCGCTGTTCCGCGGTTTGCTGCATCCACTCGCCAGATCCATCCCTGGCCGAGCCGCAGCTTGTCCTTCCCAGCTACGGCGCCCCTGCCTTCGCCCTTGACCAGCAGGGAACCAGTCGAGCAGGCTCGTGCCACGTCATGATGCGGTGGGGTTGCAAGACGTGCAGCGCTTGGAACAATGGTACCAAAGCGAACTGCTTCCATTACGGCGCATGGAGCCCGAATGGTGTCAGGCCTCCTCCCAGCGCCCCGAGGGCTCCTAGGGGACTTTGGGCTGAGGGAGGAGCCCCGTGGACCCGTGTTCCAAGGTAGGAAGGGTTTGAGGGGAAACCCTGGGTTCGGTATGACCAGCAGTCCTGGGATTCCAGCATTTGTTGGAATCAGAATCAGCTGCTCATTGATGCGGAGACGGAGCATTGGGTCTGCGTGTAAGAAGGAGCCTTCAAAATCACGACTGTGCGACTGCCCCAGAGTCAAAGGGGCAAAACCAATCGCCAGAGGATGTTGCGACCGGCAGGACTCGGAAGTGGGGGTGGCAACGGCGTACCGAAAAGAGTCACTACCACCAAGACAAGTTGTTGGGCCTCCAGGAGACAGAACAGAGGCCCACGGACGCAGCACAGAAGACCCAGGCCCACGCGCAGATCAGGGCAGCCAAGGAAGAGTTTGATCCTTCGCGCGCTGAGGCCACCAACGCGACAACTTTGGAGAGGGAGTCCGCACGCAGCTGCGCGGAAACGGCGAGCAGTTTGGGGTTTTCCTCGCCAACTTCGCCGAAGGGTTGATGGGTGCACAAGGCCAGAAGGGGGTGCAGGAACAGGCTGGAGAAAGGCACGGGGTGCCTTGGAGAAGGCGCGGCTACCGCACTGAGCCAGTGCAGGGTGGCCGCCAGCTCAGCAAGCCCAACGACCGCCAGACGGACCTGCACCAGCGGCGCCTCTGCGGGCGCCTCTGGTGTACGGCAGCCCCGGCAGGATGGGTGGGAGCACGTCCAACGTGGGCGGGGGTATTTCCACGCAGGGCCATATGGGGGGGGGGGGAGCCGGCGACGGTGCTGTCGGCATGGCTGGCAGGACGCTTGTTCGAGCTGTGCCTCAGATGGTCGATCTCACTGGGTCGGTGGAACGCTCTCCGACAGAGCGTGGAACGGGTTGAACGCCATTGCTGGGCAGCTTAACGAGCATAGGATAATCATCGAGGTCGTTGGTGGCAGCGCGGGCAGTGCGATCGGCGTGGTTCCTTACCAACTGTGAGGAGATGGAGGTCAACCTCGTGCTTCTGGTGGTTCGCACGCTGACAGGGTACGGGAAGGTAGTCTCAGCCTCTCAAACAGGATGGGCGATTACAGCGAGATCCTCGGGGCAGAGGGCGCGCGCTCACCAGCTGGGGCCAAGCCATTGCTCGCTTCGAGGTTCGAGTCGCCACCTTCTCAAGACAGGAAACACATGCAACTCCCAACGGCTGAAAGTTCGCGCCCACGGTGCGGGGTGAAGCCGCTGCTCGGCCCTGGGTTCGAGTCGCCACGAGCGGCAAGCATGCACATCCCAGGGGCAGAGGGTACGTGTCTATGTTATGGGGTGAAGCTACTGATCGCCTCTGCCTCTGGGTTCACGTCGCCACCGCTGCACCAGTCCCATGGTGGGGAGTTGACGAGCGGGAGCACCAACTACGGAGGAGGGGCCGAGGCCGGACGCAGTCATCCCCAGCATGCCCCTGCTGGGGAGCGGAAGTCACAGCTGGCGTCCCCCGCGGAAGTTTGTGGCGTTGTTGCGAGGTGCGAGGAGGATCAGCAGTCGTTGGAGGCAGGCCAGAGCAACAGGAAGGATTGTCGCTTGATTTAGTATTCGTTTCGTTCGTTCCGCCGGCACATCTTGCATTACTGGTGCTACATGTTTGTGTGTGGGTTGCGATCGAAAATAAGGAGGAGGCTCACAAGGAGGAGGGGGAAAAGGAAGACGAGGGGTACGAGGAGGAGAATCTGGAGGAGGAGGTGGGAACCCTGCGATGGCTGCTTGTGGGATTGAGGTGTGACATGGTAGCGATGTAGAAGAGGGGGAGGACGGGAAAACTGATTGCACCGTCATGATGATTTATTGAGGCGCTCTTCGTTCGAAGATTGAGGTTCGTTGAGGGAGAGGGGGGAGGGGGAGGAGGGGGAAGATGGGAAGGGAAGGAGGATGAGGAGGAAGAAGTCGATTATGATGATGAGGAGGAGGAGGAGGAGGAAGAGGGAGGATAAGATGAGGAGGCCTCTCGATTCCTGTCTTGATGATGTATCGTACTGCTTTTCGTTCGAGGGTCGAGGGTCGTTGACACAGAGGGGGGGAAGGAGGAGAGGGAAGACATAAGGAAGGTTTGGTGAGACGATACGAGGCCTCTCGGGGGCCTCTTGGCGGTATTTCTGGGACCTGAGGCGTCACGGGGGCCTCTTGGAGGCCTCTTGGGGGTCTCTTGGTGTCTCTCGGGGGCCTCTTGGGGGTTTCTTGGGGGTGTCGCGGGGCCTCCAGGGAACCTCTCTGCGCCTAGTGCTCGACATATCCGTTCGGGTCCCTTGTCTGGGCCCGCCGTCTTGGGAGCCTCTTCGGCCATCTTGGAAGCCTCTGGGGCTGTCTTGGGGCCCTCTGGGGCAGTTTTGGGCGCTTTGGGAGGCCTCGTGGGCCGTGTTGGGGCGATCCTGGAAGCCTTTAGAGCCGTCTTGGAGCGCTGGCAAGCTCCCAAAGCGAGAATGCCAAAAACCTTCAAGAACTGAGGGAAAATCGCTGCTGCCTCTGTGGGTCCTCTTGGGAGGTCTCTTGGGGCTTCTTGGTGGTCTCTTGGGGCCTCTGGGGGGCCTTCAGGGGCATTTTGGGGGCCTCTTGGGGCCTCCAGGAGACTTGTCTGCGCCTGGAGCTCGACATGTCCGTTCGGGTCCCTCGTCTGGGCCCGCTCGTGGGGCCGTCTTGGGAGCCTCGTCGGCCATCTTGGACGCTTCTGGGGCTTTCTTGGGGCCCTCTGGGCAGTTTTGGGCGCTTTGGGAGGCCTCGTGGGCCGTGTTGGGGCGATCCTGGAAGCCTCTAGGGCCGTCTTGGGGCGCTGGTAAGTTCCCAAGGCGAGAACGCCAACAACCTTCAAACACTGGAGGTAACGCAGTCCTGCCTCTGTGGGCCCTCTTGGGAGGTCTCTTCGGGCTTCTTGGTGCTTGGGGCCTTTAGGGGCATCTTGGGGGCCTCTTGGGGCCTCCTGGAGACCTGTCTGCGCCTAGAGCTCGACATGTCCGTTCGGGTCCCTTGTCTGGGCCCGCTCGTGAAGCCGTCTTGGGAGCCTCTTCGGCCATCTTGAAATCCTCTGGGGCTGTCTTGGGGCCCTCTATGGCCCGTTTTGGGCGGGGCGATCCTGGAGGCCTCTTGGGCCGTCTTGGAGCGCCAGTAAGCTCCCAAGGCGAGAACGCCAAAAACCTTCAACAACTGCAGGTAAATCACACATGTCTGCCTCTATGGGTCCTCTTGGGGGCCTCTTCGGGCTTCCAGGGGACCTCTCTGCGCCTAGAGCTTCAAATGTCCGTTCGGGTCCCTCGTCTGGGCCCGCTCTTGGAGCCGTCTTGGGAGCCTATTCGGCCATCTTGGAATCCTTTGGGGCTGTCTTGGGGCCCTCTGGGGCAGTTTTGGGCGCTCTTGGAGGCCTCTTGGGCCGCGTGGGGCGATCCTGGAAGCCTCTAGAGCCGTCTTGGAGCGCTGGTAAGCGCCCAAGGCGAGAACGCCTAAAACCTTCAAGAACTGAGGGAAAATCGCAAATGTCTGCCTCTGTGGGCTCTCTTGGGAGGTCTCTTGGGGACCTCCTGGGGCGTGTTGACGGCGCTTTGGGCTGACTGGAGGCCATCTCTGACGTCTTGGATCGCTCCTGGGCCGTTCGGACCATGTTGAGCTGTCTTGGAGGCCAACTGAAGCGCTTCTGGAACGCTCTTGGGAGCCTGCTGGGACCTGGCCGGGATCTGCCTATGACCTTGCCAGGACCTGCCCGGGACCTTGCCAGGGTTTTCCCGGGACCTTGACGGGACCTTGTCAGGACCTTGCCGGGGTATTTTTCGTCCGGGGGACCCCCAGCCGCGCGCGCGAATTAGAAATATTGTTCGCTCTTCGTTCGAGGATTCAGGTTCGTTGAAGCAGAGGGGGGAGGGGAAGGAGGGGGAAGATGGAGAGAGAAGGAGGGTAAGGAGGAAGAAGTCGAGGATGAGGAGGAGGAGGAGGCCTCTCAATTCCTGTCTTGATGCCTTATTGCAACGCTTTTCGTTCGAGGATTGAGGGTCGTTGACGCAGAGGGGGGAGAAGGAGGAGAAGGAAGAAAAAAGGAAGGGTTGGTGAGACGATAGGAGACCTCTCGGGGGCCTCTTGGCGGTATTTCTGGGACCTCCTGGGGCGTCACAGGGGGCCTGTTGGAGGCCTCTTGGGGGTCTCTTGGTGCCTCTCGAGGGCCTCTTGGGGGCTTCTTGGGGGCCTCTTCGGGCTTCCAGGGGACCTCTCTGCGCCTAGAGCTTCAAATGTCCGTTCGGGTCCCTCGTCTGGGCCCGCTCTTGGAGCCGTCTTGGGAGCCTCTTCGGCCATCTTGGAAGCCTCTGGGGCTGTCTTGGGGCCATCTGGGGCAGTTTTGGGCGCTCTTGGAGGCCTCTTGGGCCGTGTTGGGGCGATCCTGGAAGCCTCTAGGGCCATCTCGGAGCGCCGGTAAGCTCCCAAGGCGAGAACGCCAAAAACCTTCAAGAACTGAAGGGACATCGCCTCTGTGGGGCCTCTTGGGAGGTCTCTTCGGGCCTCTTGGGGCCTCCCGTCGGCCTCTTGGGGGCCTTTTGGAGCCGCCAGGGGACCTCGCTGCGCCTAGAGCTCGACCCGTTCGAGTCCCTCGTCTGGGCTCGCTCGTGAAGCCGTCTTGGAAGCCTCTTCGGCCATCTTGGAAGCCTCTAGGGCTGTCCTGGGGCCCTCTGGGGCCCGTTTTGGGCGGGGCGATCCTGGAAGCCTCTTGGGCCGTCTTGGAGCGCCGGTAGGCTCCCAAGGCGAGAACGCCAAAAACCTGCAAAAACTGCAGGTAAATCACAAATGGCTGCCTCTGTGGGTCCTCTTGGAAGGTCTCTTGGAGGCCTCGTGGGGCGTCTTGAAGGCGCTTTGGGCTGTCTGGAGGCCATCGTTGGCGTCATGGATCGCTCTTGGGCCGACTCGGGCCATGTTGAGCTCTCTTGGAGTCGGAGGCCACTTGAAGCGCTTCCGGAACGCTCTTGGGAGCCTGCTGGGACCTGGCCGGGACCTGTCTGGGACCTTGCCCTGGGACCTTGCTGGGACCTTGCCGGGGTACTTTTCGTCCAGTGACCCCCAGGGGCGGCCCCGCGCGCGCGAGTTAGAATGTTGTGAACCAGTCACCGCAGATCTTAGCACACCCTTTGCCTGTTGGGCCGGCGGATTTGGTTCGCAAACATCACATGTGAGCGTTTTCTTTTTCGAAGTTTCGTCATTCAGCGAAACGGAGGGGGGGGTCTGTCTCTGGACCTCTGCTTAGTGCGACTGTTTGGAACAGCGTTCCCATGTGGAATATGAGGAATCCTATGTGGGAGCCTGGGGATCTGGCGGCCGCGGTATGCAGAGCGGACGGTTCGGGATGTCTGTTCCTAAAACCTATCGGCCCCAACCTGCCAGATGAAAAAAAAAAAAAAGTTATCCGGACGAAGGACCCAACTATAAGCAGTTGTGGATACCGCGCTCTGGGTCCATCTTTCGACGGGCCTTCCTATGGAACCACGAGCCGTGGATGCAATGGGCGGCCCGCAGCGGGAAGAGTAAATTCGGAAGGAGCGCACTCATCCTCACTCCAATTCCTCTCCTCGTCCTCCTCCGTCCTCGGCCTCCTCATCCTCCTCCCCCTTCTCCTCACCGCCACCAAAAGGCGGGAAGCCGCATGTGTACCCTGCGGCGGGTGGGGAGCCGTATGTGGACCCTGTCTTCGGGGCCCTCGGTGGAGCTCCCTGTGGGGCCACGAAACGTGTGAGGGGTGTGCCTACATGGGCATGCGGCGGGCGGGAAAGGCGCACGCGGACGCGGCCACTGGGGTCTTCGGTGGAGCTCCCTACGGGGCCACGAAACGTGTGAGGGGTGTGCCGAAATGGGCATGCGGTCGGCGGGGAAGGCGCATGCGGACGCGGCCACTGGGGCCTCCAGCGGAGCTCCCTACAGGTGTCGGAAACAATTAAGCAACACTCACGCATAACATATGGTGTGAGCTCCCCCCCCCTTCCCCAGAATACAATGTTGGGCTCGGATCTCCCGGGCTTGAGTGTCGGACCGGTGATGCGTATACGTGCCAATTTTGAACTGCGGGGGGAAGGGGGAACGTTGCGTAACTTGTTCCTTCAACCGTTCATTTTTGTGTTATTTTACTTCGTGGGCCGCTCGAAATCTTAATTCTGGCGATTGGGATGTTCCTCACTCACCTCGCTGAGCCCACTCGGGATCCACGGGGGCGCGAAGAGAAGCACGCCTCGCATGCCGTGCGTCCCGCGCTGGGGCGTCGCTTGAAGGCGATGCGGAGCTTGAGGAGGCCATCGAGGAGCTGAGACGGAGGGCGTGTGTGGGTGGGGATGCTGCTGCTGCCCTTGCTCCCCCATCCAGAGGGCCCCTCCTCCTCGGGCCCCAGCTCAGAGCCTCTGAGTCCAGAGTTGGCTGCGATGGCCAGAGATCCTGAGCTGTCGCCGTGGTCGGCCCACGGCCATGCGTTGCTCGAGTTTGAAGTGACGGCAGCAGGCCAGCCACCCATCCTTTTTTTCTCGACCTGCGGAGGCTATGCTACTGTCTCGCAAGGGTCCAGAGGGCTCCGCAAGACTTGCCTGGGCTCCCAACATGCCCCAGTGGACCCTGGCAGGAAGAACTCCAGAGTTGGGCTGAAGGAGAAGCACCCCAACAGACCTCATGAGCTGGGCCCCTGGAGGACTCCTGGGGGCGAGGTTCGGGAGCTTGTTGGGGGCTTCGAGAAGGCCCCAGGAACGTCGAGGGCCGAGTTCTTTCCGTCGGCTTGGCCGACTGCCTCCAGGCCTTTGGGTTCGATGAAGCCGAAGCCGTGGCTCTTGGAGAGCGCTTGGGCCGCGACTGTGCCGATGAGCACGGTGCAGAGTCCGATGGTTAACTCGCCCATCATAGGGGAGGGCCCTGTCGCTGGCCCCTGGCCGGCGCAGTAGCCTGCCAGGGGGACAAATAAGTCTCCTCGGGTGGCCCCCCCTTGGCGGTTTTTTGACTGAACCTCTCTCTCTCTCTGTTTCCCCTCTGTGACGTGCGATCCACCTTGTCCTTCCGCAGCCAATTTGACTCAAATGCGAAACATGCGACCTTGGCGCTTCGTGCGCGGTCGTTGCCAGGGGGGCGGCTCGAGGCGTCCCGCGCCTGGTCGACAGGCGACTTTTTCAGCTCCTGAGGGGGCAGCCAGTTTCCGACCATTCCGCGCGTCACCCCATTGGGCCCCAGAGCTTCGGAGACGGCGCCGCACGGCCGCAAGGGGAAGAAGGCTGAGATTCAACGTCAGCGAGAAGAACTATTCGAGCACAACTCCATGAGCCCATCGAAGAGTGCACGTAACTGGTCTCCTTCGGACAGTCGAGACAGATCGCGAACGGGAAGTTCGAGGTATGACAGTCGGCGACGTCGGGAATATACAGTAAGTCCTGCTCCGCCCAGAGGAGCTGCTGCCGCGCCAAATGAGGCGCCAGCATGGATGCGGGGGCTCGAAGAGATGAGGGAAACGGGCGACAAGGTCGCGCGCCTGGAACAGTCACTGCAGCAGGAGGCGTCGGACCTGCGCACCGCATGGCAGGCCCAGGAGGTCAACATCGGAGCGTTGAGCAGCAGGATGGCGGAGGCTGAGCGCAGCCAGATGGGTGTGATCACGCAGGCGGTGCAGACGACTGCGTCGGCGGCAGTCGACAGCAAGGTCGAGGCCATGCGCGCAAATTTTGCCGAGCTCGCCCGATGGTGTCAGCCAACGTTACAAGTTCAGCGGAATCTGGCTCGGCTCCGATAACACGATGTGCCCAGGCGCTTGGTAACAGGCTCATGCGCTGGGTCGGCACTTTTTCCCAGGACTCTGACCCACGCTCAACGCAAGAGTTCCTGCCACCAACGCATGAAGCCGGCCATCTCACGGCAGCTGAGGGGCGGCCTCTCGCTCCACAGATCGACATTTGCGAGGAGCTTCGAGGTGGACTTCGGGACCGAAATGGCCGCCCGCGAGTTTCAGAACTTTTTCGTGGACCGCCAACTGATATGGACCGACACCAGAGACCAGAGAGGATGCGCCATCAGAGTGCGAGGCGATCTGCCTCTCGACGCTCGCGCGCGCCAGCGCGCAGCGGCGTCCATCTGAGAGGGCACCGCGCAGCTGCAAAGAGCTTCGGGGGCCGAGACGCGTGGCCTCAAGCTGGGCTGCAACGGCTGCCAGGGCATCACCAGCTGGATCTTGGACGATGGCGCCTTCGAATTGTGCAAGGTTGAGGGTTCAGATGCGCGGCGCTGGACATTCAATTTGTTTTTTTTCGAGCAGTTCGGCAGGCTCGGCATCAACAGCCAGTTCGTTAAGGGGCTCATCGAGGCAGCAGCGGCGGGAGCCGCCAGCCAATGGGGGTGGCCTCTACGGGGCCGACCAAATATGATTCAGAGCTCGCTGGATGAGGTTATTGCTGCATCCTGTCCTGGGCGCTCTCTTCTTCCTTCTTCCGCATCGCGCAGTGCCATTGATGGAAGCGTGCACGATGGGGCCCGCGCTGGTACTCAAAGCGAACGCTTGCAGACCTTGTCGGCGACAATGAACGCGCGCTGCTTCGATGTGCCCCTCCTCGTCCTGCTCTTCCTCGTCTTCGTCTGGGTCGAGTGTGGCCTCCTCTGAGTCCTCCTCTGACGAGCGGAGCAGCAGCGCTGGCAGTAGCTCCGTTTCTGAATTCGGGCCAGGGAACCCACCCGTGCCACTTGCCAGTTTAGACCCTTCCCTTGTCCTTTCTCACCTTCGGCTTTCGCCCGTGACCTGAAACGTCCAGACTTTCCGTGGCAGTGTCTGGGGATGCCGCAAGACTCAACTCGATACGCATGTTCGCCTCCGTCGTATTGCTCAGAAGCTCGATGTTGCCATCTTTCCCCATGAGACCCATCGGGCCCGATATGACCTCATCTCAATGCGGTGCTGTTCCCCTCGCTGGCGTTCTCGGGGCGCGTCCTGCCAGTCTGGTACCGCTGGTCGCCTGGTTATTTTGATGCGTGCTCGCATGCATGAACTCGTTACTTTATCTTACTTCTTAGCCGCTGATCCGTGGGCAGGCTGTTGCGCTGGAGCTTGCAGAAGCATTGGGTCAGGCCACGCGCTGTTGGGACTCATGTGGGCCCGGAACTCTCTGTCCCCGCGCAGAAGGATGTGCTGTCGCATACTGCTGCACGCATGTGCCCCTCGGCCTCTGCAGCCGTCTGGAATGGGGGGGATCAGCGTTTCCGAGGAAGGATTGCAAAAAAACCAAGGATTGCAAACAAACCTTTTTTGCAATCCTTCTTTTTGCAATCCTTCGTTCAAAAAAGGGTTTTTTTGCAATCCTGGGTTATTTTGCAATCCTTCGTTCAAGAGGGGCGTCTCGTGGCCGCCGAAGGTAGGCAGGAGACCCCGCGGGGCCCGCTCGCTGTCCGTCGCCACGCTGCCCCCCTGGGCCTCTCGGAGACCCGCCAGAGCGAGCTCGCGCGCAGACGCGCGCAGCGCGAACGTCTGCTTTCGTCCTCCTCCTCCTCCTCCTCCTCCTCCTCCTCCTCCTCCTCCTCCTCCTCCTCCTCCTCCTCCTCCTCCTCCTCCCTGGGCTGCCCGGATCGGATCTATTGTCATATTCCCAACGCCGCGACGTTGCTGCTGAAGCCTCTCTCGGGCGCCCTGCGGGGCACCGTCTGCGACGCCTTCCCGGGCGACCGCGCGGCCGGCGCCGCGACTTTGCAGCCTGGGGGGGGGTGGGGGGGGGGGGGCCGGGGGCCGGGGGCGATCCGAGATGGGCGCGCTGCTGCGAGCGTTCGACGAGGCGGCGGCGGAGCCCACCATGCAGCTAGACCCGAGGTGGCCCCAGCGCCAGGCCCTGTGGCCTCAAGGATGCGTTATGCGAGGCTGTCCGGAAAACCATGAGGAGGAGGGAGTTGCAAGGCCCGGGGTCCATGGTGGAGGAGGTTTCCTGGATGATTGCTCTGGTTCGGGGGCGCCTTCGAGGGGGCTGGCTTGCGGTTCAGAGAGCGGTTCGGGCACGTCCTGTTTTTGGGGCGCGCCATGACCTCCAGGTCTGGCAGCGGCCCTGCCCCGACGAATTTTATGAAGCGTCTGCTGCTAAGGTTCGGCGACGGTAGCTGGGAGAGGAAGCCGAGGTTCGAGCGGGCCCGCAACTGTCAAAGCACGCAGACGACAATAATATTCCACGTTTGAAGCTCAGGCCCGCCTGGGCGCACTCGCCCTGATCCGTTGCGCTCGCTGTTGTGATCGACGAGGCTGGCGAGGCCATCGCGGATCCAGACGCGCGCGCCAAGTGCTTGGCCCGACGATGGGGACATGTCGCCCGCCGTCGGCAGCAGGGCCCTGATGCCTGTGAGAAGCATGACCCGTTCGTCCAGAAAGTGCCCGATGGGGTTCCAGCGGTTCCTGTCGATGCCCATCTTCGCCGACGTGATGATTCGGTTTCGAGGCTCCAGCCCAGCGGGATCCACCGCGGCGCGCGCCAGAAGGCTGGCGAGGTGACCACTGGCACTAGTTTCGGACTCTATGATCACCTTGCACAGAGCCCCCGAAAGACTTCAACGCGGCGACGCTGGCCCACATCGCCCTGAAGATGCCGGACCTCCTGGAAATGCCCGACCTCTCACCCTCATGGACACATGCAATAAAATGATGCCTGCCGCGATGGCCCGCCCCCTGGCTGATTGCGGTCAGGTCGCGGTCATCCGGGCACAGATAGGGTTCGCCCCTGGCCGTCAGATGCCGGGCTGCATTATTTCTCTGGGTGCCAGAATGATGCTATGGAGGCTGGTATAATACCTGCAGGATTCGGTTGCGTGTTTTTTTACCTGAAGTAAGGTTTCCCGAGCATGTCACATGCGTGGATGCCGCGACTTCTTGAGAATCTGGAGTTGCCCAACTGGTTCGCGGGGGAGGTGGCGATGTTGCAGTCAGAATCGGCGACGTGCGTCCGCTTTTGAGGTGCTAAACGGGCGCGGGTGAAGCGTTCCGACCCGATCCCGAGGTTTTTCAAAGCTCAGGTCGCGCATCCAAAGGCCGACAAGATCGGATTCGCGGACGTCTCGGTCCTGTCTCCGCCAACATGTTTTTTCCGACCTCCCGCGCGTGAAGCTGCTAGTCCAGAGTACTGAACGGACTGGCATACTCGTGAATGTTGGCAAGACCGTTCTCATTCTTCCCGGTGGCTTTGAACTCTCAGAGGTCAGGAGGAGGTTCAGATGCCAGGGCGCGAAGGCAAGGGGCCTCCAGGTTCAGACTTCCGGGAAGTAACTCTCTGGGCATCGTGGCGGGGGCGGATGGGCACATTGCCTCTCGGGTGGCTCCTGGCAGATCCCCTGGGGGTTGCGTATCCAGGCTGAAAGGACCCTAGCAGAACCTCCCCTAGTACGTCTGAGGCTACAACAGACACTGCTTTTCAGTGTTGGGCATCGTGGGTCAGATGTACCGGCCCAGCAAGGACGTTTTATGAATCGAGCGCAGATGCGTCCAGAGGCTGACGGCGGCGCGCAACAAGTCGATATTTTTTGCTATGCTGTACCGTCTTCGAAGCTTTGGGTATCATTGTGGTATTATGTATCTGGAGTTGATGGCCTAGGCTGCCGGCTTCCGCGTATCTCAGAGGAACGCTGCTTTCGTTAGCTCCTGGAGATCTACGATGATCTGGTGGTGGAGTGTGGGGAAGCTTCGGTTACCCACGAGTGGGACCCGCTGTTTGTGAATTCCATCTTCATGCAACTTCGGAGGACGATGAGATATCTTGACTCTGTTCCTGGACTGCCGACGGGTCGCCGCTGGATTCCATCGTGTCCTGCAAGCATCGTCTGACGTGAGCCCCGTGCACCCGCTGCTCCCTAGGCCGAGGTACTGGGTACCAGAGCTGTCCTTGAACATTGCGCAGCTCACGTTTATCCGCCTGCAGCTAGTTGCCAGTAAGCTTCCGTGCAAATATGTACGCAACCTGATGAAGACGACATGTAACGGGTTAAGTACGAGTAGGAGGTATCGTTGAGGGACGTTTCGGTGTATGTGGGGGTGCCAAACTATGTGTGGAGATGCTCTGGACCATTACGTGGTGCGCCCTATGGTCGCGCCAATAGTCAGAGTTCTCGTCCCCCTCTTCAATCTTGGTTGGGGTGGTGGCCCGTTTTTGAGCAGTTGTGTCTAAGTTGCATTCCGATTCCTGCCAGAGGTGAGTTGTATTCTGCGGTGGTTGCCATCGATTCGTTGCTTAGCACACAGCAGAGCATGAGGGGCAAAGGCTTCCGTGGGGCCGAAGTCGTTATGGGAATCATGAGACCACGGGCCCGTGCCATATCCAGGCTGAATGCACATGTGAAGGGGGCTCTACACGAAAGCCAACCTCCAGGGGTCGTGTGGAAACTCGGACCCTTCCCGATCCTCGCTACCCTCGCTGCTGGCCCGTTTCTTCCCCTGCTGGGACTGGCGCTCCTCTTCTTCCTCCTCCTCCTCCTCCTCCTCCCTCTCCTCTCTCACCTTTCCCTCCTCGTCCTCCCCCTCCTCCTCCTCCTTCCTCCTCCTTCTCCTCCTCCTTCTCCTCCTCCACCTCCTCCTCCTCCTCTTTGTCCCTCCTTCCTCTTCTCCTCCTCACTCCTCCTCCTCCTCCTCCTCCTCTTCCTCCTCCTCCTCCTCCTCCTCCTCCTCCCGTCTCTTCCTCCCTCCGCCTTTCTCCGACAAAAAGCCCGGGGGCACCAGAGTGGGCGTCCACCCCCGTCACCAAGGGGGTCCCCCCAGGCGTTGGGGTTATGGTCCTGGGCCCCCCG